CTGTCTTCTAAATTGCATTGAAACAGAGAACTTGATGAGAAAGGTGCTGAAACAGAGGGAGAGGGAGGTAGATAGTATGGTGTTACCTTCCATTGCTCCTTTCTGTTTTTCTCTTTAGGGAAAAGTATCCAAGTTATTACATCAATAATAAAAATAAATAAAATAATCTTGTGGCAATCTGACTCTCCTGAGCAGAGCAGCTGGCCCTCTTGGCCAAATTTCTTTAAGAGGAAGATCGGGGGATGTGGGGGTGTGTAACTGCTGTAGCTGAGAACAAGTTGCTGTGTCAGGAAGCTGCCTGCTTGGTGTCAAGTTTTGTGTAAAGCTATCGTCTTTAAAAGGACAGAAATAGTAGGAAGCAGTTTCTTACAAAGATCAGGCTTCATTATCTCTCATACAGCCGTCGTTCTTTTGCGAGCATAGGGCTTCTTGTGGAAACTGAGTTTTCTTTTGGAAGAATGCATGAACACGAGAGGAAATTATCCATACAAGACTGAAGACACTTGGTGTCCCTCCACAGTTCACTTAAAAAATGTGTAGGATAAAAAAAATATTGATTGTAGCTCAAGTATGTAAAAAGCTTTGGGTCACAAATAGCTAAACTAGAAAAACTCCTTTAATCTGGTCTTATCTGATATTATTACCTGTGTTGGCACGAGTGCTTGTGCAGTTAGCTGGATTAGTTTCCTGATTTGGTGATAAGCGTGTGAGAGAGGACAAGACCCTGCGTGTAACATGGGTGTGTTGGGTTACAGTTTCACAGCTGGTACAAATCACTTCAGGTTGCTTTCTTTTAATACGGTAACAATTAATTAGTGTTTGGAAGCAACATCTGACTGATCTTCACCCGGTGGTTTTAACACTAGGATTGAAGTTGTCATAATGAATTTCTTTTTCTCTAATGCAGCGCTTGGTTTTTGATCTGCCTGTCTTCCATCCGCTAGTAGATCCTTTGTCTGGTGAGCTGGATGTGAAAAGGGCATTTGCAAAATGGAGGTTAGTGTATATTGGTACATAGTGTATATTGGTGTATAATTTGAAAGAAGTTTGTTCCGTTCTTCATCCTGCTTTATTCTTTTTAGGCGAAACCACAATCACATATGGCAAGTATTAATGTATGCTCGCAGAGTCTTCTACAAGATTGATACAACTACTCCTCTGAACCCTGAGGCTGCAGTGCTGTAAGTGTCTTTCACGTGTATAGACACCACCTCTTAAGAGATTTTGGTGGAGACTCACAGAAACAAGAGATTTGTAAAACTGTTTATCAGTTCATGGTCTCTGCCTGCAGAGTTGGTTGCAATTGGAACTAGTCGAGGCTTTGCCAAATCTGGCTGTGCTTCTAGGGCAAACCTGTGCCTCCTCACAATTACTTATCATGACCTACTTTTCTCTTGCAGGTATGAAAAAGATATTCAGCTGTTCAAAAGTAAAGTGGTGGACAGTGTCAAACTATGCAGCAGTCATTTATTTGATCAGCCCAAAATAGAGGATCCCTATGCAATCATGTAAGTACCACGTGCAAGTTCACCGTGCCCTAAGTTTCAAGAACAAGTTTGGGTATAGTTGTTGATTTCAGGCCTTTCTCTGCCAAGTTGACTGACCTGCTTTTTCTTACATTCATAGCCATACTTTGAATATTCCTATCCTCGTTTCCTTCCATTTAATATTGAGTGAATCTTAAAGATAAGCAGACGCTCGTGTTTACTGGTTTTTCACTAAGCAACCCAGACTTGAAAAAATCTCAACAAAACCCTAAACAAACCCCCAAACAAGCAAAGGGCCCCCAGACACCCCACCTCCCACAAGTAGAGATACCCATGGACTAAATACTGCTTTTGGGCTTTCCTGAACTCAATTTGCATGACTGTAGCTTTGGACATACTTCTTAAATGCTTTTAAGCTTGTCTTGCATGGGGGATGGCACAGTCAGCTCCGTAGTGAATGTGAGTAGTATTTCGTGTAGCACCTGCTGAATTGCCAGCTGTCATTGCAAACAAAAATGAAAACCTAATGAAAAGATCCACGACAATGTAAATTTAGTTCTTCTCTGGATGTTTTAACATTGAAAACTCAGACTTGGAGTTTACTTGAAATTCAACAAACTAAGCCAAGGAAAATTGCTGCTTTCTGCTCTGTCTATGCTGTAGTTTGCAAAAACGCAAAGAGATAACTGTACTTTCTCCATAGTTTTTCTCCATGGAATCCAGCTATACATGATGAAGCTAGAGAGAAGATGTTGACTCAGAAGGTATGAGCAAAGTCCAGATTCTCACTACAGTAAGGTTTGTTGCCTGATAAAGGAAGAAAGATTCTCTCTGTGTGATGAACATGTACTAGACAGACCTTATTCCACCCCTCTTCTGGATCAGCAAGTGTGCTGAAGCTGATTTGGTCTCCTAATTAAGCAGTTATGTCACTGGTTCTACCTTCAGTGTGTTAAGCAATTAATCATTTAGCCGGCTAGAAAGCTTTGTTAGTGCAATTGTTGGCACACTTGACAGATTTTTTTTTTGTTTAGGGATGGAAGGGAAGGAAGAGATTTGCTGACTGCCTATTAGCTTGTCCTGGCCTTGTCATGGTCGTTACCGCTTCTGTCTAACCTCACAGTCCCCAACTTCTTTGTTCTATTCTGTTGAGAGATCTTTCATTACAGAACCAAAGCTTGGGGCTGTTCTTCTCATTCCAAACTTCCTGAAGCAGCACAAGCAGAGTGCCTTGCTCTCATCTCTACTGATTTCTAGTCAGACAGCATCAGGTGACAGGCAGGTGCCACTCTGCCAGGCTCAAGCCCAACCCATCCCTGTTGTTTGATGTTTTATGGCAATTCCGTCACGCTGTGCCACTTTCTACACAAAACTCGTGAGGGACAGAAGAAGTGGAGGTTCAGTTTTCTTGCTGCCTTGATTTACTTTTGTCAGTGGCTTCCCATAGTACAACAAAGTCTACTCACAAAATTACCCCTTCCTAGAGCTCGATGCGTCATTCCAGGTTTGATGTAATTGGCACACACATGACCTGCTGAGCCTGTAGCAGTGTGCAGGCAGGGCCAGTTCCTGGTTTGCAAAAAACCTGCAAGCTGTTCTGTTTCTTTGACCTGCTAGAGTAGGTATCTCACTCCCTAATCTTCTTAAACTACTTTAAGTTGCACCTTTCTCCCTCAGCTTGAAGCTTTATTTTTTTTTTTTTTGTTTTCTAAATTGCGAATCAGTCTCAAATGTTTGTTGCATTGTGTTGGGTAGAAATAGTTACTGCTCAAGCATAAATGCTCAGGGAAGGGAAGGACTGTCCTTGGAAAGCCTTAAGGAGCTCCATGGTGTGCGATGAAGGTATTGGTTGCTACTTTGGTATGTTAATTTGCGTTCAGAAGCCTTTTTTTTTTTTTTTTTGTCTTCTAAATTGCGAATCAGTCTCAAATGTTTGTTGCATTGTGTTGGGTAGAAATAGTTACTGCTCAAGCATAAATGCTCAGGGAAGGGAAGGACTGTCCTTGGAAAGCCTTAAGGAGCTCCATGGTGTGCGATGAAGGTATTGGTTGCTACTTTGGTATGTTAATTTGCGTTCAGAAGCCTTTGGTGGGATGCAGTGCTCCTCCACAGCTTAGCCCCGTAGCCAGGTGGTGTGGTACAGGTGCAGTGTCAGGCTAGTGACAGAAATGGTTTGATTTGGTTTGACACCTGTTTCTGTAGAACTGAGAAATTTGGCAAACAGCAGTGCAGTGAGTGGTACTGGGCCACGGCCTTCAACCGAAAGGCACTCTTCAGAGATTATCCTTGAACCATCTTCATGGTATGATGGGGTAGCGGGACACGAACTAAGTCATTAAAACTCTCTTGTAATGTCAGGGTAATTTTATGGGTGCCACGGAAATTAAACTAGTAGCCATTTTAGTGCTCCTCTTTGAGGAAACGATGCTACTGTGTTTTGTGCTTGTAAATGGATGGTTATAATGGCTGGGGAGGGACTGAAGAGGGTTTGCGGTTTCTGATAATTCTGACTTTAATTCTTTTCTGCCTAGAAGAAGCCAGAAGAGCAGCACTGCAAAAGCATGCACGTTTCTGGCCTGTCCTGGGTAAAGCCTGGCTCAGTTCAGCCTTTCAGCAAAGAAGAGAAGACGATGCCGACTTAGCTCTTGGGGACTGCGGTGCACGAAACACTTTCTGTGGGTGGAGGGAATGTAATGGAGGGAGAAGCAGCCAAGCAGCGGTTTCCTTCTTGACTACGGATTAGTACAAGCTGAATGGTAGCAGTGACTCCAGTAAACCTGCTCAATGGATTACTGACTCTTCAAGTTTTACGTATGCGTTAGGTTTTAAAGGCTTGCCTGGAGTTTGGAAGTCTCTCTAGAACACTGCAGTACTTCTACTGGAAGGCTGTCTAGGGTGGGTAATTCCTCAGGGCTCTGAAATGCCTGGAGGTTTTGGGTTGGTTTTTAAGCTTTTTTTTTTTTTTCCCCTCCAGGAATAGCAATTTTTTTTAAAAAAAAAAAATCTTAAATTACTGGCAGAAATATTATCAGGAAATATGATGCCAGAGGTAAGCTGTGTTCATGTAAACTAATATAGCAGAGTTAAACACTATATTTAATGGTTTTAAATACTTTGGTTTCTATTGTAAATATATTAGGATTTGAAATTGTAAATAGACGGTTCATTGACTCCATTTAGCACTTTCCAGAGGTAAAGCTGGGGATGATGTATGATGTATTATTGATTTGTAAATGGATATTGTCACTAAAGCGCACATTAGTCTGGCAGGGTGAAAGCAGAATGTCAGGCTTGTTAGACTTTCGTTACATAACACTAAAATCAAAGCTTTTAATGGTGGTCTCTTGAGCTAATAAAGTCTTAGAGGATTTTAGATTCCCTAGGTGTCTAGGGGATTACTTAGGATAGCTTGACTAATGTGTGTTAATAGTGACATCTTAAAATAAAAAGAAACCGTGATCTAGCTGTTGTCCCTCTGTCTGTCTGTGTTGTAGATACTTAGCAAGGACTGGAGCTAGAAGGGACCTGGCTACTTATGTCCCTGCTGCTTGTGTATCCAGGATGGTGTGTGCTGGTGACACTGGTTAAATACGGGTTTTTTCCACATATGGGAAAACCTTTCTAAAGAACTTGTGAGCTCAGGACAGAATCTTCTACTTTTCACAAGAGTCTTCCTAATGTCAGTGCCTTCTTCCTGCCCAGCAGGATTTTGCTACCAAAAGCTGGGCTGCTTTTCCTTCGGCTCCTCATACCTGTGCAGATGGCATTAACACAACCCCTACTGTCTAGTAACAAGTAGCAGTGACTTCATACCTAAAGGTGATGTGGGGAAGGGTGTGGTGGGTGGTTTGTCTTTTGTGGGGTTTTTTTTTTTAATTGTTTGGTTTTTTTCCGACAAGCTGAATCTGCTTGCCATATAACAACCTTTCCCTGTTCCTTTAGGAAACAACTTAGCTCTTAAGGAAAGACTTCACAAGCAATATGCTATCATATTCCAAATTCTTAACCTAATGTACTGTGGATGACCTGAGTGGTTTCTATGCAGCGCTTAACATTGTATAAATTAAGTACTTAATTCTGTTTTAGCTAATGTTGAAATCTCACTGTGTGACATTGCTTTAAACCTTTTAAAGGCAGAAGTCTTTGAGATGCAGCGGTTTCCTGGGGCTGCGTGGAGTGTCTCTAGCACTGCTGGAATTCCTCTTTAGACAGAAGAATGCAGAGGATCTGTGGAGAGCGAGGATCCTGTTTAAGGTAGAGAAAGAAGGGCATCCAAAGGTGCATTTCTTGGGGCTCTCTCCTCTTTAACTCCCTTCATCTTTTTAGGAAAAATTTTGACATGGAAAAGGTTATTAAGCCTTGGACTGGGCTGCCCAGGGAAGTGGTTGAGGCCCCATCCCTGGAGATATTCAAAAGACTGGTTGACATAGAGCTTAGAGACATGGTTTAGTGATGGGTTTTATCAGTTAGGTTGCTGGTTGGACTCGATGGTCTTAAAGGTCCCTGACCTAGACAATTCTATGATGATACTATGATTCTATAGAGTGGGTACCTGTGTTCTTACTAAATGCTAAAATGTTCTTTCTAAACTGTAGTATATCCACTTATGCTCAGTGTAGTAAGAGAAATACAATTTGGAGTGTCTCCTTTGTAAACAACTCAAGGTTAAATAGGAATTCTAAGCATAAGTGCTTCTGAGGAAGGTACTTGCAACTGAACTGAAAAAGCTCCTGCTAACACTGTGTGTGTGAAGTATGGCTCTGTGGAAACTGAAGGCTCTGGCAGACTCCAGTAATGAGTTAGTGCAGCAGATTTAAACATATTTAATGGCTTTAAATGCGCTGTAGGTTTTTTTTTTTATTGTAAAGTGTATTGACAGTGGTGGTTGAGTGCAGGTCTTCCGAAAGGGTGTTTTTGTCAAGGTGAGTCAGTCACTGGGTGAGGTGTCTGTGACTTTTGTAGGGCAGGTACCTCGGAGTGAACCGAGTTTCTGCTGTCTTCAACACAAATCTGTCTCCTCTAGCTCAGATCTCGATCCAGCTTTGTTATGAGGCTGAGAAGAAGCTGTGTGAAGGTAGAGGTGCCTAAAAATGGGTAGGGAAAACTAGAGCAAATCTGCAGTCTGTGGTGGCTCTCGGAAGGTTGCTGCTGATACAACTTCAGAGAATTGCAAAGTCATTAGTAGAGTAATTCTGGGTATTTCCACTGACATCACTGTTACCGTCATCCCCAGAGAAGCTCCTCATGAACAATCTCTTTCTATAACAGTAACTACAGTAAACTTGGTGTGGGTTGTTTTGCTGTTTGAGTCCTGGGACAGAGGCTCCTGTTAGAAGCACTAGATCTGTTCCTGCAGCAGCGCTAGAAACCAGCAAGGTAACAGCAGACTGGAGGTTGCTTTCCCCCTGGTAGCGATGGCTTGTTTGAGCTGAACCTTCAACTCCCAACCTCGAAATAAACCTGTGCAAGTACTGGATTGGAGATTTCTGTGGTGGTTTTTCTCTTCTCCCATTTCTACCCCTTGGGAAGGAAAGAGCGGGAGAAGGCTTAAAACTTGCAAGAACTTTGTTCTTACTCTTAAGTATTTTTTTGGAAAAAAAAACCCAACAAAACACCACAAACATTGTATGTCAATAAATTTTTAAGTCCTGTCTTTAGATCAAAAACTTTGAAGAGAGTGAAAAATCTGAATTGCAACTCTTTCTTTTTTCTTTGCCAGTTTGTGCACTCTTTCATATAGTAGGAACATTCCAGCTCTTTATTTGAACATGTTTTTTCTAACTTAGGTTTTACATTCATTATCATCTTGCAAGCTAAAGGTAGTTATTTGGTGAGAAGGGGACTTGGATGGCAGACAGCTGCAACCCTTTTGTAATTTTTTTCTGTGTATCAGTATAGAAAAGAAGGAAAAACCTGTGGATCTTGGAAGCAGGTGAGTGACTCCTGCTGCTGTGCCCGTTCTCCGTGGTGATGGGATGTGCAGGGTCCTCCTGTGGGAGCAAAGGACTTCTCTGCTCCAGTCCCCACTCAGTGATCTTTAGGGAGCTACTGCCGGTGTAAAAGAGGGGTTTGAAACTTACTTTTTCAGCCTTTCAAAGCAAAGAATGTCATTCTTACCCTGTGTTGCCAGCCACAGAAGCTGTCTGCCCCCCTCGGTGGGTGAGAGGGAAGCCCTGTGGGCCGGGGGGGCTGTGGTGCCTGCTCTCAGGTGCAGTGTGTTACCCGTGGTGGCAGGTCAGTGTGTGCTGGCAGCACCTGGGCTGTCTCCAGCGTGACCACCTGCAGCTCAGGAGCCCCACGCAGCTCTGAGGAGAGTCCTGGCTCCATCTCCCACCACCACCACCAGGATCTTCAGCTTCCTGGGATCCTCAAAGAGAGCACAGACCGTGTCCAGCCCTCGTGGAAAAGGGTGAGTGATCTCGCTGCTGCTCAGCAGGAGGGGGTGGTGGTGGAACCCATGCGAGGCCTCTGTACCGGGGAGTGATCTGGTAGGGGGTGCAGGGTGTGAGAGAGGCTGTGCCCTGGGACTGGGGCTGTTCCCTGCCTCGGGCACTGCTGAAGCTCTGGGGAGAAGCAAAGGCCTCGTGCGCACGGGCTGGGGTGAGGAATATTTCTTTTGTTGCTCTCCCACCTTTTTCTTGCTGCCTGTGCAGCTGATTGATGGCTGCTTAAAAAAAAAAACCACCATAAAATCCTTACTAGTGTTTCTGGCTTTTGTTGTTTGCGTTCTAGGGAACAGATTTCTGGTAACCCTGAATATTTGTTTGATTTGAGCTCATCCTCCCTGCCGTGTGCCACTGGTCATTAACCTTTCTAACAAATACATGGCCTTAGCCAAGCAGGACCTGCTGTTGGGCAGCCTGCTTTCAGCAGGGCTTCTCTGCTGGATGGGGTCTCTAGACGGGGGTCAGCACGGGGAAGTGGGCTTTAATGTGGGGTTGGGACTTGTAAAAGCTTGTGAGAGAAACAGCAGGTTCCTGGTGACAAGGGGAGAGGAGGAGGCTCCGTGCCACTCACCTGGCCCAGCTGTCTCTCCTGAGTGGCATTAATGCCCCACGAGACCTGTGTGTCCCGGAGGTGGGGCAGGCTGTGAGGAATTCCAGGTGCCTCGGGATTGCCAAATGCCTGTTGGGAGTTTGCAGTAGCAAACAGAACTGGAGGAACTGCTCAGGAAGCTGCCCGGAAAGTGGTGGTGGGGTTTTTTTTCAAGGAAAGCACGTGGAGAAAGGTTTGGTGTTTTCTTTTTTAGGGCCGCTGTAGTGGCCAGGAGTGCAGCCACTGCGGTGCTGTGAGCGTGATTCTGTTGCTGCTGTTATTTTTCTTTTGCTTTTCTCAGAAGGCTGAAATTGAAATGGAAATGCATCAAGTTTAGCATTAGAACAGTTCAGCTGAAGGAGTCCTGTGTGCAGCAGGGCATGGGCTGGCACCGTCAGCGAGCAGGAGGTCCCGGCTGGGCAGGGAGGCAGAGCTGGAGCGCTGGATGGGAACGCCGTAGTTCCTCTCATTTATTGTCACGATTATTCAGAGGGCTTTGTAATAAATCACTGACTTGCACGTTTCCTAAGCCACTTAGGGGGAAGGACTTGCCTGGAAGTTTAATCCCTTCTAATCTGGGGCTGCTCTTTCATCTGGGCGTCAGGCGGGGTGGGCACAGGCCGGGTTCCTGCTGCTGCGACACCACGTGTCCCTGGCACAGCCCCGGGGAGGTGAACATGGAGCAAATCCTGGTCACTGTCACCCAAGGGTGGCTCCTGTTTTATTTCTCCCATTGCTGCTGGGGTTTGGAGAACACCCCGGTTTAAGACTAGTAAAAAAAACCAACATGGAAGAGGGGTAGAATGATGCGAGTTAAAATAATGGTTATTTGAGTGAGTTTTGTTTGTCTGTGAGCCGTTCTGGAGCTAAATCCACACTAATAGCTGTTTGCTGAAAAGAAAGTAATTTTATTTCTCTAAAGACTGCTCGATTTTCTCTAGTTTAGAATAAATAACTGGAATCTTTAATTCTTTTATTATTTTTTTTTTAGGTTGAGAGAGGGGTGAGCACACTCACTGTGTCTTCTGTAATCGGATTGGTGGATTAAAAGAAGCTGCTCCGGGAGCAAGGCAGGAGAACGGGGACGATACCATTGGATGCTGAACTCAGCTGTCACCTTCCCCAGCACAGGTACACCACTGAGTCAGAAAACATCTGGAAAACTAAATTTAAGTCCCTGGTGATACTTGGATAAAATGGCATTTTTTTGAATATCATCTTTGCAGTTCTGAATTCTGCCGAGGCTGTTTCAGAACGAGAACTATAGGTTACACTATAGGTAGTCCTAAAGAGTTTGGTTTGTGGTTGGACAAGATGGTTGTTGTAGGTCCCTTCCAGCCGACCTGTTCTGTTCTAAGGTTTGAAAGGAATGGTCTGAAGCTGCTTGAGACTTAATTTTTTTTTTTAAATCCTGTTTCAATCCTGAATGTTTGTCCCCCTTTGGAACACCTGAGTAAAAAGGGAAGGGAAAAGCCAGTAATTTTTTAGCTGTAAAAGCACGGTACGGGCTGCCCGTGCCCAGAACGGTCTGAGCAACTTCAGGATTCTGGGAAACGTCCCCTCATCTCTCATGAGAGATCAGCTACTGTCTGTGGAAATAATTCTAATTTTGTTGGATTAATATGGGAGATTTTGTATGGAAAGCTCCTGCAAGACAGACAGACCAGCTGGCCTTGTTCTAGGGTCTTTCCTCTTCTGCTGTGTAGCCTCGGCAGCCTTCCTCCTCCTCCTCCTCCTCCTCCTCCTCCCCTCCTGTGCCAGCAGAGACTCCCCAGCCCGGGCAGCCCCGGGCCCTGTCCCGCTGCCTTCTGCCGCGTTCTGGCAGAGCCAGGGGAGGAAACACATTTAGAACAAACATGATGACTCAACTGGGGCAGGAGTAAATCCTTTCCCTTGTGGCATGACTCATATGTGCAATTATTTTATTATTTATTTTAAGCCATTAATTGCAGCGTTTGAGGTTCCTGCAGTCGTGGGTCTCACGTGCCTCCTGGGCCCTGCCTGAGTGACCATTTCGCTGTTGCCACCTTGCACTCCCCAGTCAAACCCAGTGCTGGAGAGCTGCTGGTTTTAGCTTTGCACAACTGTTTTTTTGCCTTTTTTCATGCAAGAACATAAAATTGGGCGTTTATAAATTCTTTATTGAAAAATACACTTGCAGTATTTTCATACAAAGTAATGTAAATGGTACAGAGTAACAAGAATTGTCTGACAATTTCATAAATATTTTTACAGAAACATCTACACAATTTCTCGACTTCAGCCTTTTTCTTGTGCAGGTAAGAATGAAAGATGGTTTTATTTTCATTTAATTTAATTGAATTTACAGTGGAATTAAGTCCTAAATTTTCCCATTATTCAGAGGAGCAGGAATGACCGAAAATACTGAGCTTTTAACTTTTGCTTCCTTATAAAAAATTCCAGAATCCGAGTGTGCTACATCTTACACGAGCAGCACCGCTGTCCCTGGTGTGTCACTGGAGAGGAGGACACTGGTGAACTGTTGGTAAGTTTAACACTTTCCTAGTAAGTCTGGCATTTTGGAAGTATTTTAAATGAAAGCATCTAGTAAATCTATTATATGCTCCACTTCCTTATGCTGTTAGTAGGGGAGAGCTTTCTCCCAGGCAGCCTGATTTGCGCCGTAGTTCCTCTCATTTATTGTCATGATTATTCAGAGGGCTTTGTAATAAATCACTGACTTGCACGTTTCCTAAGCCACTTAGGGGGAAGGACTTGCCTGGAAGTTTAATCCCTTCTAATCTGGGGCTGCTCTTTCATCTGGGCGTCAGGCGGGGTGGGCACAGGCCGGGTTCCTGCTGCTGCGACACCACGTGTCCCTGGCACAGCCCCGGGGAGGTGAACATGGAGCAAATCCTGGTCACTGTCACCCAAGGGTGGCTCCTGTTTTATTTCTCCCATTGCTGCTGGGGTTTGGAGAACACCCCGGTTTAAGACCAGTAAAAAAACCAACAGGGAAGAAGGGTAGAATGACGCGAGTTAAAATGATGGTTATTTGAGTGAGTTTTGTTTGTCTGTGAGCCGTTCTGGAGCTAAATCCACGCTAATAGCTGTTTGCTGAAAAGAAAGTAATTTTATTTCTCTAAAGACTGCTCGATTTTCTCTAGTTTAGAATAAATAACTGGAATCTTTAATTCTTTTATTATTTTTTTTTTAGGTTGAGAGAGGGGTGAGCACACTCACTGTGTCTTCTGTAATCGGATTGGTGGATTAAAAGAAGCTGCTCCGGGAGCAAGGCAGGAGAACGGGGACGATACCATTGGATGCTGAACTCAGCTGTCACCTTCCCCAGCACAGGTACACCACTGAGTCAGAAAACATCTGGAAAACTAAATTTAAGTCCCTGGTGATACTTGGATAAAATGGCATTTTTTTGAATATCATCTTTGCAGTTCTGAATTCTGCCGAGGCTGTTTCAGAACGAGAACTATAGGTTACACTATAGGTAGTCCTAAAGAGTTTGGTTTGTGGTTGGACAAGATGGTTGTTGTAGGTCCCTTCCAGCCGACCTGTTCTGTTCTAAGGTTTGAAAGGAATGGTCTGAAGCTGCTTGAGACTTAATTTTTTTTTTTAAATCCTGTTTCAATCCTGAATGTTTGTCCCCCTTTGGAACACCTGAGTAAAAAGGGAAGGGAAAAGCCAGTAATTTTTTAGCTGTAAAAGCACGGTACGGGCTGCCCGTGCCCAGAACGGTCTGAGCAACTTCAGGATTCTGGGAAACGTCCCCTCATCTCTCATGAGAGATCAGCTACTGTCTGTGGAAATAATTCTAATTTTGTTGGATTAATATGGGAGATTTTGTATGGAAAGCTCCTGCAAGACAGACAGACCAGCTGGCCTTGTTCTAGGGTCTTTCCTCTTCTGCTGTGTAGCCTCTTGTGCCTTCCTCCTCCTCCTCCTCCTCCTCCTCCTCCCCTCCTGTGCCAGCAGAGACTCCCCAGCCCGGGCAGCCCCGGGCCCTGTCCCGCTGCCTTCTGCCGCGTTCTGGCAGAGCCAGGGGAGGAAACACATTTAGAACAAACATGATGACTCAACTGGGGCAGGAGTAAATCCTTTCCCTTGTGGCGTGACTCATACGTGCAATTCTTTTATTATTTATTTTAAGCCATTAATTGCAGCGTTTGAGGTTCCTGCAGTCGTGGGTCTCACGTGCCTCCTGGGCCCTGCCTGAGTGACCATTTCGCTGTTGCCACCTTGCACTCCCCAGTCAAACCCAGTGCTGGAGAGCTGCTGGTTTTAGCTTTGCAGAGCTGGTTTTTTGCCTTTTCTCATGCAAAAGCATAAAATTGGGCGTTTATAAATTCTTTATTGAAAAATACACTTGCAGTATTTTCATACAAAGTAATGTAAATGGTACAGAGTAACAAGAATTGTCTGACAATTTCATAAATATTTTTACAGAAACATCTACACAATTTCTCGACTTCAGCCTTTTTCTTGTGCAGGTAAGAATGAAAGATGGTTTTATTTTCATTTAATTTAATTGAATTTACAGTGGAATTAAGTCCTAAATTTTCCCATTATTCAGAGGAGCAGGAATGACCGAAAATACTGAGCTTTTAACTTTTGCTTCCTTATAAAAAATTCCAGAATCCGAGTGTGCTACATCTTACACGAGCAGCACCGCTGTCCCTGGTGTGTCACTGGAGAGGAGGACACTGGTGAACTGTTGGTAAGTTTAACACTTTCCTAGTAAGTCTGGCATTTTGGAAGTATTTTAAATGAAAGCATCTAGTAAATCTATTATATGCTCCACTTCCTTATGCTGTTAGTAGGGGAGAGCTTTCTCCCAGGCAGCCTGATTTAGTTCATTAAAAAAAAAACCCCAAAACCAACCTCCCCCCGCCCCCAGTCCTTTAAAAACAAAGCAAAAAGCTACTATATGTTTTAGGAGCTGGACACCCTCCTCCTGCTGCTGCGTGAGCCAGGTGCCCAGTTCCCCACTCTCAAAAAGCCATCTGGAAAAACATTACAAGCGTATAAAATTCCTTGGAAAAAGCAAACATCCCAAGCTTCCTGCATTCCTTGCTGCACGTACGCTGAGTTACAACTCATTCTTAATGCCGTTTGCTGAAGAGGGGAGCTACGGGATGTCAGTTTGGAAATAAATACAAAAATCAAATTGCTTCAATACAGAAAGACAGCTGACGTCAGCCTTTGAAAAAAAAAAAATAATATTCACATTTAGAAAGTGCCATTGCAAATATACAGCAAAACTGATCTGCCTTAAAAATGACGCTTCTCAGCCCTATCAAAAGTGCCACTTTTTGAAGGTGAGTTCCCTGTAACCCATCGCGCAGCTGAGAGCGCTGTGGGACCGCCCCTCTCTGCCTTCAGGCAGCAAAGTGCCCCAGCCTTGCAGCACAACAGGGGGTGGTTCTGAGGGGCACACGCAACATCCCGAGCCTGGAAAGGAGCCCTTCAGACGAGCTTCCTGCAGGGCTGGAAGATACTATTCCTCTCTTCCCTTCCCAAGCAGAGCTGGACTTTGCCAGGATATTCCTTGTCAGTCATTGCTGTTGCTGTAAGAGCCGGGACGTGGTGGGATGTGGTTGTCCCAGTTGCCCCCCATCAGAGCCGGGGGTGACCTTCTAGTCCACAGCTGACACTGGCAAAGCACCGACATACACAGGGTGAGTGTTAGAGCAAAGGGACATCAATACCTGTTGCACAGGGGAAAGCTGCAGGAGGGATGGGTTCTCCAAAAAGCTCTTTGGCTGCTTTCCGAAGCGGGAGCCTGCAGAGGGGTGGCAGCCTGTGAGCAGCGTAGCCGCGGCGGGAGGCTGGCTGGTGGGGTTGGAGCGTGTCCTCACCCTCTGGGGGCTGCAGGAGACTCCTCCTGCCCCTTCTGACAGGAACAAAGGCTCAGCACAGTCCGGCAGGAGACGCCTTGGGGCCGGGGCAGCCCGGCTGAGGACACTGGCAGAGGCTGGTGACCCCCATGGGAGGAGCAGCAGCGAGGGAGGGATGGACTCAGTGAGACCCTCTGTCGTTTGCTACGTCCTGCAGTCGCCTCAGCAGAGCAGTGTGGTTCTCCTGACAGATCCGCTTCGCTGGGGCTTCAGTACCATCTTCCAGGAGAATGCCTCGCTTCTTCGTTGGAGTTTCTCCAGTTCTAACCATGCTGTTAATTTCCTTTAGCCTCTGGAGAGAGGAGAGGAGGGGAAAGTAGCATTATCTCTCATTATTGTGAGTACCTAAGTAGCAACAGGCTCAGCACAGTCCGGCAGGAGACGCCTTGGGGCCGGGGCAGCCCGGCTGAGGGCACTGGCAGAGGCTGGTGACCCCCATGGGAGGAGCAGCAGCGAGGGAGGGATGGACTCAGTGAGACCCTCTGTCGTTTGCTACGTCCTGCAGTCGCCTCAGCAGAGCCGTGTGGTTCTCCTGACAGATCCGCTTCGCTGGGGCTTCAGTACCATCTTCCAGGAGAATGCCTCGCTTCTTCGTTGGAGTTTCTCCAGTTCTAACCATGCTGTTAATTTCCTTTAGCCTCTGGAGAGAGGAGAGGAGGGGAAAGTAGCATTATCTCTCATTATTGTGAGTACCTAAGTAGCAAGTGAACTTTTGTTAATTGCATCACAGTGGGATTGCTTTATTTCTGGACATCTTTACTGTACAAAGCTCTTCCTGTGACAGAGTCACCTTTGCAGTCACTGCCCTGACAGTGGGATTGCTTTATTTCTGGACATCTCTACTGTACAAAGCTCTTCCTGTGGCAGAGTCACCTTTGCAGTCACTGCCCAGCCCAAGCGTGTCCTCACCCTCTGGGGGCTGCAGGAGACTCCTCCTGCCCCTTCTGGCTCAGCACAGTCCGGCAGGAGACGCCTTGGGGCCGGGGCAGCCCGGCTGAGGACACTGGCAGAGGCTGGTGACCCCCATGGGAGGAGCAGCAGCGAGGGAGGGATGGACTCAGTGAGACCCTCTGTCGTTTGCTACGTCCTGCAGTCGCCTCAGCAGAGCAGTGTGGTTCTCCTGACAGATCCGCTTCGCTGGGGCTTCAGTACCATCTTCCAGGAGAATGCCTCGCTTCTTCGTTGGAGTTTCTCCAGTTCTAACCATGCTGTTAATTTCCTTTAGCCTCTGGAGAGAGGAGAGGAGGGGAAAGTAGCATTATCTCTCATTATTGTGAGTACCTAAGTAGCAAGTGAACTTTTGTTAATTGCATCACAGTGGGATTGCTTTATTTCTGGACATCTTTACTGTACAAAGCTCTTCCTGTGACAGAGTCACCTTTGCAGTCACTGCCCTGCCCATCCCATTACTGTGTGTCCAGACTCTTACACCCGAGCAAGCTCCTTGTGGCTTGTCCTACACCACGGGTGCAACACCTCCTGGCCAGGGGGAAGGTGTGCAGAGGGAAGATTCCTGCTGGGTTCCTGCTGAGCAGAGATGAGAGGACTCAGCCTGTCACATACTCCTGGGTTGGTGCTCTCCAGTTCAGAGCCATTTGGGGTTTTTCTCCTGCTGAGCAGAGATGAGAGGACTCAGCCCATCACATACTCCTGGGTTGGTGCTCTCCTGTTCAGAGCCATCCCAAGAGGTAGGTAAGAGCAGGTTGTACTTAACATTCTGCTCTTCCAGCAGTTCCCAGCCCAGGTCACCCCTCTGGGACCTGAAAGCAAAGGGTACCTTTGCTGCACCTCCCCAGTCTCTTGTGTATTGGTACAAAGAGTAACTTTTAAAAGTACACAATTAGCTTGGACACCTAATTGCTTTACAGCTACTTAGATACCAGAACTGGCAGTTGGAAGAGCGTTGGGTAAGAAAGTGTGTGTTAAACAATGTAAACAGAAAGGCGTGTTGCACAACCTCCTCTGGTGTCACAGCCAAAAAGAAGCGGTAGAGTTAAGGATTTATAAAAGCAAACTAACCCCCCTTTAGTCTCACCTTAGACGGGCTGCTGCTGAAATAATAGAATATTTTCTCTCGAGGGGAGAGAGTAGCCTCGTTTTTGTGTGGTGAGATGTAGACAGGGTGGTTCTGGGAGAGCTGGACTCTGCGGGGGGAGCCGATCCGTACAAAGGGGTAGGGAGAGAGCGGAGGGGAATCCATCTGCTCGGGAGAGAAGGAAACACTCAGTGGGTGGTACCTCATCTCGGGTTTTACTGCAGTGAGGTGAGCTGGTCACCTTAACCACATTTCAGTTTTTTTCCACTAATCCCATACCATACTTAGAACAGGTGTAAGTTTTGTCATTGTGTTAGGGCAGATAAGTATTTTTTTTTAATTTACTCTTGTAGCCCTGCCTGAGGTTCAGGATGACACTGCTCAGCGCTGTGTATTTCATGCAGGAGGAAGCTGCAAATGGGCATGGAAGGTACTTAGCATTTTAGCAGCCAAGCACTCCTCGAGGTGGGATCAGTGCCATAGAAATAGAGTGCCCTGGGGAAGCAGCGCAGAGCCTATCACTGCTCCTGCGGCCAAAAAGGATCAATTTACCACCCAAAAGCACAGGCTGTAACTTACTGCGTTTGAGGTGTACTTGAGGGCGAACTCTTTGATCTGCTCGATGTAGATGTTGTTGTAGAACTGGATGAGGTCCCCTCGCTCCTCCTCCTCGGTGTCGCTGTTGGCGCCCGTCAGGCGGGTGGGGGTGGGGGGGGCGCTGCCGGGGTGCGGGACGGGCAGGGTGCTGCTGGAGCGCATCACCGGGCTGGAGTCCCTGCTGCCTGCGGGGACAGGCCATGGCCATCAGACCCGGCTGCGCAACCGCTCCCCTCCCGGCCCCCGGGGGCTCCGATGGCAGGAGAGGGGCCGTGGGCCACAGGGTCACCTCCTTCCCTCACCACACAGAGCAGCGTGTTGGGACAGACCCACACACACACTGAGTGCGTGTACAGAAACACCCGGGAGTCCTAAATTTCTTACTGCACAAAATGCAAGCAGCTTTTCTCTCCGAGCTGAGTTTGCTCACAATATAAGCAGCCCTAAAAACTCCGTTTTTCAGGCGTTTGTGCTGTACTTTTAACAGTAGCTCGCTCTCGTTGCCAGCTGGCACAATTGCGCACAGGGACCAGTGCTCTTTTTCAGCCAGGAGTAGAAATATTTGGCTTGGTTATACTTCCTGCTGCTTTAATGTGGGAAGTTGCAAAATGTATATTATTTTTTCCTCCCTTCCCTGCTGCCTCTGTGTGACACAAAACCTCAATACCTGCAGGTTGTACCGACATCCATTAAGCCACGGTGGGCAGCTCCTAAGGGAGGTGCAGGTGTTGATGGGTTCAAGACTCTCCAAGGGGGTGTGCTGTTAAGCTTGAGTTATAGCAACTCTTAGGTGTTACCAATAGAGTCTTAATTGTGCCCAGGTTTACCAAAGGAGGAGCTGTTTGGGGTGGGGCGACCCTCACTTTACACGCACCGCTCGGGAAGTGGAATTGAGGACAAACACCTGGAATTTGGAATCACTCACTTCTCTCTTTGTTTCTCTCTTTGCTTCTGTCGGTGGGTGAGCTCTGGTGGCTGCTGCTGTCACTGCTGCCTGAGCGGCGCCGGCACCGGCCTTTGATGAGGACACTGCGATAGACCTGTGGGGACAGGGTGTGGGGTGACACGGTCAGGGAACCACGGGCTGTGAGAAACCTGCTTTGTAGAAACTTCACTGTGGTATCAAAGTGCTTCTTGCAGGGGAAGTACAGCCTCCCAAGGGGAGTGTTGTCCAACAGGCGCTGCCTCCTTGGGCTTTAAGTAAAGGTATTTTCTATTTTAGGTGTAGTTTAGCATTTCAGGCTTCCAGTAGTGCAGGATTTTGGACACGAATGGTGTCTTTCGAGGAGAATGGCTGAGACTGTGTTCATTTAACATTAAACATTACTCTAAGAAGTGATCCATTCCTAAAATGGAACTAAGGGGCTTAATAAACAGGGCACACACGGGTGAACAGGGGCTGTACTTACGTGACTCTTGGCTTGCGGCTGTGTGCGGTAGCAGCGCATGATGTTCTGAAATGATCTGTCTTCCTTAGTAACCTAAGGGGGGAAGAACAGAAAAGCTTCATAGTTTCTCTGTTTTGGGAAGAACAGAAAAGCTTCATAGTTTCTCTGGGTTTTTTTTTTTTGTTTGTTTGGGGATAGTTGTGTGTGGTGTTTGGTTGGGTTTTTTGAAGAACTGTAATCTTTGGAATGTTAAGGGGTTGGTTTGTTTTTTCTGTATCGCCCTTACCTTAGCCATGACGTAGATGGCACACATCAGCAGCTGATCCAGGTGTCTGTCCATCATGAGTTCAGGGCAGTGCACCAAGGAATACTCAAAACACGTCCAGATCTTTTTCCGCAGCTCGTCAGGGATGTCGAGTTTGACACAGAGGTCTCGCAGACGGACACTGGCCAGATGGTACACCTGTGGGCAGGGACACTGCTCAGGGCCACGGCCAAAGAGCACCTCACACTGGTGGGACTCGTACGAATGATAAGCCAGAAGAAGCAGACAAGTGAAATTGAGTAATTCTTACAAGACACAGACATTGTCATAGGGGTACTGATGCCAAGAGGGCACTTGGTTGAAGCTTAAATTTGGAGTTGTCCTGATTGCAGGAAGGGCACTGCGTAGCCTATGGAAACCACTGCACTGAATAGTTGAATAATAAACCAGAATGTCTCAAAGATTAATTTCTTTCTTTTAAAGAGCCTTGAAGAAAATGGACACCTTTGAGTAGCTGCCAGCCAAGTATATGATCTCCTTCACAGCTCATGGTGGCTGTGGTGAGTCTGCTCCTTTGCTAGTGGGAAGGTGCCCGAGTAAGAAAACTACTCTTCAGGTACGTGTATGAACAGACTAAGGGTAGAGATTAACTTTGAAATTGAATATTCTCTTATTATTAGTCATAATAAGTACGTATTTTAAAAGTCACGGAAGCTGTACCGAAATACAAACTAAGCAAAGCACAAGTTAGACTGACCAGTACCTTTCTGAAGAAGAGTGAAAGCGAGCCCATCCTGCGGGGCCTGACGGCCGCGGCGAGGGGCTGGGTGCGTCGCTGCTCCCCGGGAGAGACCTGCTGCACCGTCACCTGCCCCGGGAGCTGCAGCGCCGCCCCGCTCAGCTGGGGGGTCAGGGGACCCGCCAGGGCCTGGGCGCTGAGGGGCTGCATGGGGCCAGGCACGGCCTGAGCCTGTGCCCCCACGTTCACCTGCACCGGGAAGAAAGTGATTCCTCCGTTTTCGTTGGCGATGCCTGCAATTTGAGAAAAAAGAGTCTGGAATAAGAGCAATTTGGGGGGGAGGAGGTGTGTTTGTAGTTGTTGTAGGTTTGTTTTGTATGGTTTTTCTAAAGAATTCAGTGACTCTGTTATTAGTTGCTTATAATATATTAATTAAAATATATTTAGTATATTATATATGGAACTGTTTCATCAAAATACTTTTAACTTTTCATCATAAGGAGACAAGAAAATAATGAAATTGAACTAAATTTTTCATTCTAATGCAAGTTTCATGCCGTGCCAGTTGAGGAAGGAGAGGTTGCTGAAATAACTAAGTTTTATGAAATAGATGCTGGCAGTCAGCATGTCCTTGTGCCCTAATGCTCAGTCTCTAAATTCTACGTATCTATTTATACAACTTTTCCCAGGTGTGAATCCTTAAACACATCTTATTATTAGTCATAATAAGTACGTATTTTAAAAGTCACGGAAGCTGTACCGAAATACAAACTAAGCAAAGCACAAATGAGACTGAAAAGTACCTTTCTGAAGAAGAGTGAAAGCGAGCCCATCCTGCGGGGCCTGACGGCCGCGGCGAGGGGCTGGGTGCGTCGCTGCTCCCCGGGAGAGACCTGCTGCACCGTCACCTGCCCCGGGAGCTGCAGCGCCGCCCCGCTCAGCTGGGGGGTCAGGGGACCCGCCAGGGCCTGGGCGCTGAGGGGCTGCATGGGGCCAGGCACGGCCTGAGCCTGTGCCCCCACGTTCACCTGCACCGGGAAGAAAGTGATTCCTCCGTTTTCGTTGGCGATGCCTGCAATTTGAGAAAAAAGAGTCTGGAATAAGAGCAATTTGGGGGGGAGGAGGTGTGTTTGTAGTTGTTGTAGGTTTGTTTTGTATGGTTTTTCTAAAGAATTCAGTGACTCTGTTATTAGTTGCTTGTAACTATATATTTAGTATATTATATATGGAACTGTTTCATCAAAATACTTTTAACTTTTCATCATAAGGAGACAAGAAAATAATGAAATTGAACTAAATTTTTCATTCTAATGCAAGTTTCATGCCGTGCCAGTTGAGGAAGGAGAGGTTGCTGAAATAACTAAGTTTTATGAAATAGATGCTGGCAGTCAGCATGTCCTTGTGCCCTAATGCTCAGTCTCTAAATTCTACGTATCTATTTATACAACTTTTCCCAGTTATGAATCCTTAAACATGGAGCCCATCCTGCGGGGCCTGACGGCCGCGGCGAGGGGCTGGGTGCGTCGCTGCTCCCCGGGAGAGACCTGCTGCACCGTCACCTGCCCCGGGAGCTGCAGCGCCGCCCCGCTCAGCTGGGGGGTCAGGGGACCCGCCAGGGCCTGGGCGCTGAGGGGCTGCATGGGGCCAGGCACGGCCTGAGCCTGTGCCCCCACGTTCACCTGCACCGGGAAGAAAGTGATTCCTCCGTTTTCGTTGGCGATGCCTGCAATTTGAGAAAAAAGAGTCTGGAATAAGAGCAATTTGGGGGGGAGGAGGTGTGTTTGTAGTTGTTGTAGGTTTGTTTTGTATGGTTTTTCTAAAGAATTCAGTGACTCTGTTATTAGTTGCTTGTAACTATATATTTAGTATATTATATATGGAACTGTTTCATCAAAATACTTTTAACTTTTCATCATAAGGAGACAAGAAAATAATGAAATTGAACTAAATTTTTCATTCTAATGCAAGTTTCATGCCGTGCCAGTTGAGGAAGGAGAGGTTGCTGAAATAACTAAGTTTTATGAAATAGATGCTGGCAGTCAGCATGTCCTTGTGCCCTAATGCTCAGTCTCTAAATTCTACGTATCTATTTATACAACTTTTCCCAGGTGTGAATCCTTAAACACACTTTTTCCCTCACCTTGCACGGGTATGGTGACAGTCTGCCCGTTATTGGCTGTCACAGTGGCCGTTGCCACCGTGACCAGCGTCTGGCCGGGCACTGGGGTGACGGACATGGCGTCGGGGCTGACGTTCTGCACCGGCACCGTGTTGACCACGGGCTGCTGGGACACTCGGACTGGGGTCCCGCTGTCAGAGCCGTTGTCGTTGTCAACAAACAGTCTCCTCCTGGTGGGGTTGGCTGTAGGAGAACTGTATCTGTCGTACAGGGTGGTGGGGGAGGATGAAAGGCCTGTGGGTTCACAAACACATAAATATATTTAACTCTCGGTGCATAATCCCTTACTGTACAAATACGCGATAGAAGTCTAATAAGAATCAAAGTATGTCATGCCAAGCTCTTTAGGACACATTTAAAGAAATTCCTTATGTCCACGTTGTGGCTCACAGGCTGCTTTTAGAGGTGACAATCTCAGATAATGCTGCCTTTAATATGTTTCTAAGCTGATGTATAATGTTTTATTTTTCCAGAGGAAAAACTTTTGGCACTTCATGTAACTAAATATACAGGGGAGCTTCTGTTCTGGTGTAACAACAAAGCAAACTGCTCCAGTGCTGCTGGGTAGCACATAAGTAGTGTGTGTGCATAAATATTATTTAACATAAGTGTATGTTTCTATACAGATGTGCTGTTCATGTACATAACCTCCTGGAGACACCCACGGAAACAGCTCAGATGGGTAAGACATTTTTCATTTCAGTGTGAGCAAAGTACTAACCCCATGAGTTGCAATAGAAATACCATTTACAAATGTGTTTGCAATGAACTGTACGTTGACATTAAAGCACCTTGTTGCTCTACAGCACTTGCACTTAAAGATGAAAGCCCCAGCCTGAGGAGCGTCCGGGTGTACCCACAAAGCAAGGTGTGTACCCATCAGTCTCACCTTTCCCCAGTCCTCCGCTTTCAGCGCGAACCTCGTTGATTCGTCTGGGCGTCAGGGGTGACCCTACAACGCTGTTCCCAGCAGACCTCTCGAAGTACTGCGGCGGCATCACCTGAAATATTGATGCTTTTGGTAGAGCCTGTGTCACAGACTGACCACGTAGCAAATTTTTAAAAGCTTCTGCGCTACAAATTTGGGATGGCAAAAAATAAAAGTAACGCTGAAAGAACACGACAGTCACTGTGTAGGAATTGTGTATCTAGCACGTACAGCACCGTGTAATAATCTTTCAGAGACTGCAATTAAAAGTCTGTGCTTTTTACCACATTTCTTCTTGTCTAGCAATCTTTTAAAGTGTGACTGGTCCAAGCCTTCCCTGTTTGTGCGGTCCCTGCAGGACATACAAAGAGCTCACCTCTTCACAAGTGGGAACTTTGTTTTCGTTGTCTCTGATCCTGTCCCACAGGATGGATTCCTGTTTCCAAGCCATGCTTTCCAGGATCTGCTCTTCAATGTGGTTGAGGTGTTTTACCACCTCCCGACAGAGACCATCCTCCGCTCTGATGAAAACCTCAATTACCTGTAAGGTGGACACTTACAATCAACATAATGTATTTACTTCATATGAGAAATATTAAGGCTGCTTGACTACGACTCCATCGCCTGTTTTGCGTTTTATAAGACAGATATTTTTATCTTTTTAAGCAAAGGAACAGCCCATCGCTGTTGCAGAAACACTAATCCCATAGTTACTGGATAGATGTGTGGCTGCTGCTGGTAAATGCCAACGGGAGTTTGATTTTCAGCCCCCCCAAGCCCCACCCCAGGCTGACAGGCACCCAGGGAAGGTTTTTTTTCAATACAAAAAGGGGCAAAGCTGAGAAGGAAGGGTTAATGTGTAAGTTAACATCCCGGTAAGCAGGTGACTGCTTAATCTAATGCTTACTCAGGGTAAGCATTTCTAGCTGTCACACACCTTACCTTATAAAAATGATAAACTGGAATGTCAAATAGTTCAGTGATGAATGGGAAGTTTCCAGGCGGCTGATAGGTAAAGGTAATTATCTCCAGGCAACAGGCCAGCAGGGATCTGTGAAACACGTCCTGCTCCAGGATGGCCTGCAAGAGAGTCGCAAATGTTAGTGCTTAATTTACAGTGTAACTATAGACCAACAGGATTTCTGTTCTGCCTCACAGCGCGGTTATCATCAAGCTTATAAAGAGACCTCATTTTACAAGAGACAGAGCAGAATCTAAACTGAGACATCTATACTCATTAAAAATGTTATATACCTGTGTGTTTGCAAACACAAATGATTTCTGCTACGCTCTTCCTTCCGTTCTTATGGAAGTAAGGTGTACTTACAGGCTACTTTTCAGAGATTTACCCTCATTTTAAATAACTACAGCTTTAGAAACGAGGCACAATGAGATGAGTTTTCCTCACAGACAAGTCCGCGTCTCCCAGCCGCCGCCTCTCTTGCTCGATGACTGCCTCCAGGACCTTGTAGTACAGCACCTCGGCGCGACGGAAGTGCTTGCTGGCAACATCTGCAGGAATTTTACGTAGAAACAATATTGTGAAACGCGATAAAGGAATTAAGAGTCTTTATCTTGGGCTGTAGAGATGCAACAGTTCAGTAGGTTCAGGATTTCTGTGCTGCTGCGGCTATAACACTTTCAGGACTAAACCAGGTAATTTCTGCTGAACTTAGGAATCCCTCTCCCGTGCTGCACTGGCTCGTGAATCCAGAGCAGAATAACTTAGTGCTGAACCCAGATTTTGAAGGAAACACCATATATAAGAACAATCTTTAAGTTGCTACAATATAATATACATATTTCAAGTTCAGAAAGTATATTGTTTGAAAATATACCTATGTGGATCCAACTCGCAGTGTGCAACAGGAAACCCAGAAGGAACTATATGTTTACAAGGACAAATACAAAGTAAATAAAGACCCTATTAAGAAATAAGGTCAAGAGCATCTTCCTCACTTCTAATCCGTCTTCACACGTCACAAATCTTGACCACTTTGCAAATACTACTTTGTGTTTATACTGGTAGGATTTTGAATTGAATTCCACTGCTTTAAGCTCAGGCTGATTATAAAATGGTATGCAGGGCTGAAATATGCCGTGTTTTAAGAATACTAGGAAAAGACAAAAGTAATGGAAAAGACTCTTGTGCTAAAGCATAACCTGAAAGTAAAACTTAAGTTAATTACAATAAATAAACCTGTTTACTGGCTTTTAATTTATATCTGTAGAAGCAAAACATTTCCCACCTTTGGAAAAGGTACTGAACTCCCCCTCAGCCGACGCGCTCTGGCAGAAAACTTCATACATTTCTTTTACTCTGTTTGCAATGGACTGAGAAGGATCTCTGGAACATGACCTGAAAAAAAAAAATTCCAATATTTTCAATATACTCTTCCTACCAAGACAAAAAATCTAAAAATGTACAACTATTTTTATATTATGATAAAAGCATGAAGCTGTATCTGGGCTAACAACACACACTCAGATGTGCCTGACTCTGTATGTACCATAAAACATTCCTGGCATATTGGTGTTATTTTATACATTGTAGTAAATATGCACATCTTTCCATGGTCAGGGATAAATATTTAAATAGCATTTTCCACAATATCAAATAGCTTTAAAATATATTGTACCTGAAGCATGAAGTATCTACATGCAGAAAAAAACCTATTATGAATAAAAATCCTACAATGTGGTGTGATTTGTGAGGAGAGAGATTTGCTAAGGAGGAAGAAGAAAAGTCTTCAAAATTTCCTATTAGGGGTTTGCTGTTGTCAGAACTGTGGGGTTTTAGATGTTGTGTGTTCTTGGAGCCATTAATCTCATAAGGACAAAGGTGTCTAAAGCAAGAGAATAAAGTCTTTTGAAATTTCAGTGTCTCTCTGGGCTCTGTTTTACTCCAGAACATTTCAAGACTCACTCACATTTTAAATTACACTGTTCAGCATTACCATTTCTTTTTAAAACTGTTTTAAAAATAGCATTATTTGGTCAGCTAAACATGAGACTTACCTGAGTATCTGCTCCAGGTTTTCGCTGGGGGCATTTTTGAGCCCCGCCAGCATGGTGTGAAGGCGGCTCAGACTGTAGGTTGCTATGGAAACCGGTGTCACGTAGGGGTTGCTCTCTTTAATGTACTTGCGACCGGTAAGTGGGGTTGTAACCCTGAGGGATTTGGACTGAAAGACAATAAATAAGCATGGAAATTACATTAGTATAAAACTTAGACACAGGTTACAACCCAGAAGCGTCGGTCTGTAGAATTCTTCCCCTCTGTTCTGATACACGCCTGGAAAAAACAGCTTGGGATCAAAGAGCCCAAACTAGTTCCTGTCCCAGACAACAGAGGGATCTCTGTCACTGGGACGTTTGTACCAAGTAGTGCTGTATGAACTGAGGGGGTGTGACCACCCACTGAGATGCAGATACTGGGAGTGAAGTGTGAAACAACAAGGCCAATTAAAAAAAAAATATCCCAAAACAAAAGCCCCAGCAGCCCCCCCCCCCCAGTCCCCTGAGCACCAGAGGAAGCTGTAGCTGGTGGGAAATGATTCCAAGCCAGGGGTTCCTCACTGCAAGTTTCACTCGTACATGAAAAGTCCTCCTGAATCTAACAATTAGCATTTTAATTCACTCGCATCAGATGAAGTCATCACATCAAAATAAGTTAACGTCAAGGACGTCCCTTCAATCAGTGTACAGCAAAACCCATGCGTCTTCTAATTATCTAACCACACGATTACTTAGCCATGGTTGGAGGGGAACAGATTTAGTCTGGAGATGAGGAGAGGGTTCTTCACTGTGAGGGTGGTGGAGCACTGGAACAGGTTGCCCAGGGAGGTGGTTGAGGCCCCATCCCTGGAGATATTCAAGGAGAGGCTCGACGAGGCCCTGGGCAACCTGGTCTAGTTGGGGGTGTCCCTGCTGACTGCGGGGGGGTCGGACTAGATGGCCTTTGGAGGTCCCTTCCGGCCTGGGCAATTCTATGATTCTATGATTTCCTTATTTTAATGAACACAGTACATTTCGCAGCTCCTTGTACTCCTCCCATGTGCCCCACACCCTGCTAAGGGGGAGCTGTTTCTGTCTCCACACCCCCAGGGAAAGCTGGTGCCCCCAGCCCTGCCCCGAGCACCCCCAGCTGCTGCCTCATCCCTCACTGCTCCATCACTACCCACACCTGCAGGAGTCACGCACCCACAGCTGGGCCAGACAGACAGCACTTGGTGATTTCTTTAAATAGATCAGCAGCGAAGAATCAGCTGTTTACACTGATTTTATAGATAAGGTTATTTTGCTCTTTTCCCTCAGGAATGTTGAAAGCCATTAACCAACTGTCACTCTGGAAAAGGACCGCGGGACTATTTCAGTGACCTAGGCTGTCTGACCCTTCTGCTCTCTGTATAAGGCAGCTCATATCCTTCTTTATCCGCCTGTCCCGTAGCCTTCCTCCTTTAAGGCATCTTTTCCATCTTGAGGAACATTTTGATACCCTGCCATCACGGGGATAGATGTCTGCAGGCAGAGCCAGTGCCTGATTTTCAAAAGCTGCTCTAGTCGCACAAAATCCCTGATCATTTTACAGGTCTTCACTTTATCATTCTGAGACATATCATGTTCTTTAGCCTCTCAAAGACTACAGTGCCTGATTTTCAAAAGCTGCTCTAGTCACACAAAATCCCTAATCATTTTACAGGTCTCTTTATTGTTCTGAGACATGTCGTGTTCTTTAGCCTCTCAAAGACTGTATTTTATGCTATTTTATTAGTCATATATAAAGGCAAACCTATATATCGTGCTTTTAGGCAAGCAAGGTGAAAACCATCCCCTACAGATTTAACTCACAGAATAAACAGATGTAATATTGACACCTGAAGCCTCTCCATGAAAAAGAAACATAAAACTATGTGTAAAGCAAAGCGCTGAGTGGCTTTGCATGAGATAAACAAACCCCTCTGTGTTTGGGACAGAGGTGTGAGGGAAGGGGAAGATGCCCCCAACAGTCACAGGACAATTCATCATTGGCCAAACAGCCACTGGGAATTGCCTGTTCTGTTGGGTCTGAAAATCTTCACCTAAAGATTTACCTACAGATATCTCCTTAGGTAATTACCTAAATATTCTCTATACTGGATTTAATCAATGAAAACCCAAATGCATGGAGAAATTGTGTCCAAGAACGCCAAAGGTAAACAATATATCAAATAAATTACAAAAATCTAACTCAGCTGTGCTGTGTACACTCCCAGGTCACCTCAGACAATAAAGATGGTGTTTTTCAGTAGCTGCTTCTCTTCATCAGACACAGACCAACTCAACTCACTCCCCACAGAAAATCAGCATCACCCACCACCTCATACTGACCCTGTCAAAGTGCTGCTGCAAATTGTGCTTCACTTGGACTCTTTCAGCCGTTTCCATTCCTGAAGTTGTATTTAAGCACCTTGTGAGAGTTCCAATTTCTTCATCCGCATCCTCCCCGAGAAATATTCTCTCGTCGAGGTTTCCTACCGACAGAACATACTCCTCGTAGGCCTTGTTGATGGCTTTGCTGCAACGGGAAGGGAAAGACAGATACAAACCCCCCTTGAGTGAGGCAGGGCTTTGGTCACCTCCTGGCTCCATGAACACACTTCTGGCCCGTTGGAACTCTGCTTCACAACTTTGTTTAACTCGAGCATTGGAGCTCCTTTAAAATCTACAGTATCTTAAAACAGGAAAGTGGCAAGGACATTATTTTTCCATTCTATCCACTGGCTTGCCATGTACTATAGCTGCAGGTGGAACATAATCAAATACTGGCTGGAAACACCTCAAAACTTATGCAGCATCATATCATCATAAACTACACTTAACCATTTTCATACCATTTATAAGAAACTAAGTCCTACTTATAAGCGTCTCTAGGTTTTTATAAGCATCTCTAGGTTTATTAAGACAAAAATACCACCAAACCCATTTTTTCCCTCCCAGTTCCCACTCAGTCAATGCACTCCCACATCTTTCTCATACTAACACGTTGGGTTATGTGCAACAAAACCTGGGGCAACATAGAAACATTAGAATAAAAGCAGAGATGAAGTCAGACCACCCTGAAAAATCGTTCCTCTTTCAAACGTGCCTCAGACCAACCCAGCTCAGAGAAAGGAGCTTAAACACCAAGTACTGTGTAAACAGTAACGAATACAGGAGTCAGCTCCTTGGTGTTACTGTCAGGATACAGGCAGTAACACGAGTGCCAGGGCATGGCAGGCCAGGGGACACCAGCAACAACCCAACCATGAATCCAGAGACTCACAAGCTGTCGCCGAAGTTCCCAGGATCTAGAAATCCGGTCAGGTTTTCATCTTTTCCTTTCAGAAGCTGTAAGACAGGTAAGAAAAGAGGATGGGCATTTCAGTTCTTAAAAAAAGACTTTGAAATAATGTGTAAGGAGAAATTTTTCTACATTACAAATCTATCCACCAAACCTTTTTGTCAAAAAGCTTCCGAATATATGGCTTCCAAAAATGTTCCTTTATGCCTTTTGCTTCTAAAACTAATCCATAATGCAATGAACACAGTTTTTCAATGATGCAGGGAGGATCTGATGATACTTTATAATCCTTACTGTGAAAGTCTTCAGGTAGACCTACAATTAAGAATATTATTATATTAACATTATTATATTTTATATATAAATATATTTTTATAATTCTATTAATATTATTATAATAAAAAATTATATTTTATATATAAATATATTTTTATATTTCTATTAATATTACATAATAAAATTATTTAATTTTGCAAATTCATATCCTATCTTCTTATTAAACTTAAATTCTATGATGTGTAGTCTAGGTAGGGTGAAATTAAAATGGTAAACTAATTAGTTCTCTTTAAAGAATTATTAATTATAGAATACCCCCTCAAATTGATAATGTTATCAAAACTCAATTTTGAGTCACAGATTTAAAAAAAATAGACATCTAGTGATAAAAACTTAAAATAGCAGTTCTAATAGAAAAGCAATCAAACACTTGTGAACTATAAAATTTATTCAAATAAATTTGAGATAATGGTCCCAGTTCCCATCTGAACCACTACAAAGTAACTGCGAATACTCTTCAGCACTGGAAATGCAGTCTGTGTCTGGAAAGAATTACATCAGAAATTAAAAGGAAAATACTAATTCCCACATATTTAAAATCAATATTATTCAATTTATTCCCTGCCACATAAATTCACACTAATTTCAGCAGCCTTAGAAGCTCTTGCAGGCCCTGGATAAAGACAGATAGTTTTCTTTCACCATACCTTTAAAATGAGGATTCAGAAGCTCTTTGCGGTTGGGACACTGGAGAGCGTTCCCGTACACTAAATCCAAAGCGCACAACAGGAGGTGGTAGGAATTGACCAGGTCATCACTGATCATAGGAAAGTTACCTTCAATATTAGAAATACAGCAGAGAATAATTAAAATTACCATCGATTTAAAATTTTTTAATCAAGAAACTGTTGAGATTTGTATTACAGTCAATAGCGGAGTCGTGGAAACACAGACTTTGGAGACTATAAATATCTGGATATAAATGCAGGTACTAAAACAGACACACACACTTAATAAAACATTAACTCAATTAAATATTAAAATACATTTCTCTTGTGCTTTATTGAAGAGCTAAAATGCATATCTCTGATCTGGTTTATAATGTAGCTATATTTCATATACCTCTAATGTATTCTTATTTATCATCTTCTCATAGAAAATAATCTTTGTAATCTCTTCACTCTTTTATCACCTTTCACAAAGATTATATTCAGATTCATTACTTTTTATTGAACTTACTGAGGGTTATGATATTCCTTTAGAGGAACAGCCATAGCTAAAAACAGTATTGTAAAATAACCTATACCTTTAATTAATACCCTAAATCAAAGTTCCATTAATTTATATGGACAGCATGATTTTCTGTCACTCTTTAAATACTCATAACTCTACTATTTTTTTTTAAATTTAAGCTCCATACCACTTATCTGAGCCCACTATGAAGATAAAGTTTAACTTGAAGAAATCTATCACATAGTAATAAACTCACCTAGAACACATCTATAGAAAATCTATGTGATTCAAATTTTGCCTAAATTATTTTCTACCAGTAATGTGCGAGTTTGTTCAAATTTATATTCAATTTTC